AAATCCGTATTTCTCCCCTCTCCGGTGAAGTGAGGGAATGATGCACGACCATTCAAAAATATGACTGGGCTTCTAATGATACAAAGCTTAATGCAAATGGGCGAAGTGTCCCTTTAATCAAACATGGCAGAAGCGAGGAGGAGGTCACCTGCAGGTCGGCTTCAGATCCACTGAGGATCTCTGAACTGATGGAGGACCAAAGCCTGTACACCTTTTACACCATTTCTCTTTTTATTGTTCACATTACAGAGCCACAAACACACTGTGCACCTGTACACACTGTGTACCTGTACACACTGCACACACTGTACACACTGTACACACTGTACACACTGTACACACTGCTGGAGCCACAGACACGCTGACCTCTGTAGGGGCTTGTTTACGGACCCCAGTCTGCAGAAATATTCACACATATTTATTCCAAAGAGAAAAACTACCTGGGATCAGTGTCTGAGCCTGGGGGGTTCCTATAGAACCATTTTCATTCAGATATCTTGAGGTCAGAGGTCAGTGGATCCCTATGAAGCTCAACCTTGGATCGTTAGTTATTTAACGCCCCTTCCTGATATGGTTGGTACTGATGGATGTGTTAATCCAGTTTCATATGAGAGTCTTCATCAGCGACTCTGACAAGAGGAAGAAAAAACACAGACATCTTCATCGTCTCAAGTCAGTCAGAGGAAACAGGAAGTCAGCAGGGAGACGGAGATCAGAGGAGGAGAAGAAGAACTCACCTGCAGAGAGAGAGTTGTTGTTGTTGTTGTTGTTTATAATTTTATTTTTCTTATTTCTTTATGAATCATATCTTTCTTCTTCTTTCCTTATTTCCTCCTATTAGCACTTAATAAAGCACATTAGATTGAAAGAGACTGAAGGAAATATAATAAACATATTTCCATGTTTGAGGACACGTTTCATTATAAAACACCAACGATGAGTTTCACAGTCCTGATACAGAGAATATTAATTATTAATTCATTGAACGTGAGGTTAGGTGCTTATATATGTATTTTAAATAAAAATATGATTAAATCTGAAGAAATGTCGCTAATAAATCTGTTGCTAGGTAACATCTGTAGAGCCGTCCAATCAGGAGCAACCAGCTGTGTAAACAGGAAGTCAGTCAGTGTTTCAGAGTTAGCATTCATACAGTTTACAATGAGAGGGAAATATCTATTTATGCTAAGCTAACTGATGTTATTTAGTCAAATATGAACATAAAGTTTTATGTTATTCTAGTGATATGTAATTTAAAATCTTCCATTAAATCATTTAACAAGTTTCAGCTCAGATATTAGCATGCTAACGTTAGCTTTGTCAGTTAGCTAACAGCAGTTACAGCTGCGGTTAGTATCGATAACTAATCTCTATGGGAGAACTGTTTGTGAACTGCAACCCGTTTTCGTGACTCAACTAAATAAACTAAAATCAGTCAGACTTTCACATTAAAGCACAGAATGTGTTTGCAGTCTCATACTAATGAAGATATTTTTGATAAAACCAACATGAACAAGTTAAACTGCTGCAGACTGAAGTCGAGCACACGATTTCTGAGCTTCTGTCTGTTTCAACCATCTTTTAATCTTTTATTCCAGATAAAGAAGTCAGATCTTCAGGTTCAGGTTAGAAACTCCTGATGAACTTCCTGTTTGATCACAGCTTTATTTAAAGGGTGACAGTTCAGTTCAGCCAGAGTTCAGATGATCCATCACAGAGAGAAACTTTAATCTGAATCCTGTCGTACGCAAAGAGTCACAACGAGCCTCCGACTGAACACAGACGTCTGGATTAAAAGATCAGAAGTGTTTCTGTCACAGTTCACAGGTCGATGAGAGGGAACAACTGACAGTTAACTGACGGCGAGCAGGTCAGGTGACAGCTGCTAATTAAGACCCGTCAGACAGAGAGAGGAGGAGGAGGACAGGTTGTTTCCTCCTGAATGAAAACTAATTTACTCACAAATGAGTCAATAAAAAGTCATTTCATCCTGGTTGCCATGACGCCCAGAAGGTGGAGTACAAAGAGCAACAGGAACAGTCGGCGGTGACTTTTCCTAAACTGAGGCGAATGAACTAAAGGTTTATTTTGAAAGGGTAACTGGA